GAAGGCCGATGCCTCCATCGCCCGGCCCTCTACAGCATCCACCCCCCAAAACTCCAGGTATTTCCCTCCTTAGAGCTGGCAACCCTACATTCCCCTCAGTGCCTGTTGGTAGGCAACTAAGCTTGGTCCTGTCACCTACTTTGGCCTTTGGGAGAAAACACATTGGGGCCAGTCCTGATAGGGTTGCCAACTCCAGATGGGAAATTCCTGGAGATTTGAGGGATGGAGACTGAAGAGGGTGAGGTTTGAGGAGGGGTGGGACCTCAGACAGGTACAATGCCATAGACTCCACCCACCAAACCAATCAGTCCCACATAGGGAACCATTGTTGCCAATCTCCAGGTGAGGGCTGGAGAGCACTCAGAATTACAGCTGCTCTGCAGAAGGGAGGGCAGAAGTCAGCTGAAGTCAAAGGGGCAGATAATGGTAGGTTGATGGTTAGCTGGGAAGGAGATGGGGTTGCCAACTCTACCCTCCAAACCAGCCATTTTGTCCTGGGTAACAATTGCTGCCAATCTCCGGGTGAGGGCTACAGATCACTCACAATTACAACTGCTCTTCAGGTAGCAGAGATCAGTTCCTCTGGAGAAAACAGTGGACTCTGTCATTATACCCTGCTGAGGTCACCACAGCAAATTGACTGTTTGCCCAAAGCCAGAGCACTCCCCCAGAGCCTCTTTCTAGATCTTGTTGTATTGCTTTAACAACGGGCTTTACTGCTAGTAATATAATAGTTTCGCACTGGCACGGCCATTTATATGCTCTTATCCTAAGTATTGTTGCAGTAGATCCTGACCTTTTCTAATGGGAAGGGGTTTCAGATCAATAAACGACAGCATCGTTATGGCTAAGCAAACAAATGTGAAATTGCTTCAGAAGTACAGAAAAAAACATTCAAGGTTGTTATGGCTTTCAACATAACATTTATCATAAATCTAACAACTTTACAATTAAAGATAAAACTGAATGGTAATGTCTATGAACATCGCAGCCTTTGAAGAGAAACTGTGTTTTGCCGCTGCTAGTCCCCAGAGAGGGGCCAAGGTGTTTTGATGTGGGAGGCAGAAATCCAAATAAGGCATGTTCCCCTTTCCTCAAGGATGAAGAAAAATTAAACTAAGCAATTGTCCATAGTTGCACAGAACTATGGGCCTGACGTGAACCACTATTTCCTGCCTAATCACAGTCTAGTCCAGCTACTTGCTTCTTTCCCTGTACCTCCTTCCTCCACTTGTATAACCTATTTAAGTCAAGGAGGAATATCAAATATTTTTTTAAATTAAAGAACGGAGAGAGGTCACATTTATGACAGTGTGAGCCCACCTTGTCACACTTGCATTTATGAAAATAATAATAAACAAACTCCAAAAGACATGGTATTTGGAACAATAATTAAGCATATACAACAACAAGCAACACATAACAGTTCAGACCTGTCGTATTGGAGCAGACCAGAGTCTTGACCCCTGTCTAGCCAGTTCCTTGAAGATGCAGCAACTTGCAGCTGTTCTCTGCGTTGGGATGTACTCTGTTCTTTACAGGAGTTTGGTATCCCTAAAATATTAACACATAGGTTCATAGGAAGGAGTGCTTCTGAGGTGAGAGTACTTCTCCCTGCAGCTTCAGGTCCTCCAATCCCTCAGGGGAAATACATGTAACATCCATTTCAAATATTCCCAACAACAATCAAAATACAGACCAACAGCCAATTAATATGAACACAATCCCCCCTTCCAGTAAGCAGTATAAGAAATTCTCATACCTAAGATATTAATATATACTTTCTGAGGTAAGAGTGCTTCACCCTGCAGCTTCAGGGCCTCCAACCCTCAGGGGAAATTGTGCCTTTCCCCCCTTATAAGGAATACCCTAACTCTTTAACTCCCTCTAGTGGATTCAGGGTTACACTTGAACATCCTCGAAGGGAATTGAGTTTTCAATTTTCCTATGGTGTATGTCAGTATGGAACCAAATATGCATCTTTTAGAAAAGAACATGAAATCTTTAAGGTATATTGGAGGGGTAGGTGTGATACTAGAATAAACAGTATGTGAAGGGAATGGCAGGCAAAGATTTTTATAGGTCTAAAGCAGTTCGAAAGCAAGAAATTGCAAGTCGATAAATAGGTACCACTTCGGTGGGAAGGTAACAGCATTCCATGCACCTCGGTGTTTAGTCATGCCACATGACAATGGAAACATCTTTGGACAGCTTGGAAACAGAGATGAGCACTGCCCCCTGGAGTCAGATTTGACTAGCTTTTGAGCAAGGGAAACCTTTACCTTTACCTTTAAAGGGCTTCTTAGAGGAGCTTTACAGAAAGGGAAATAATAGAAGTGAATAGTTGCTAGTTATCAAAGTGCAAACTGTGTGCGGATTAATCTCAGTGCACTAAAACAATTGCACAGGATGTTCCTGGGCATATGTATTACTTGAGATCTTGTGCATACCACTTATAGAATCATAGAGTTGGAAGGGGCCATACAGACCATCTAGTCCAACAGTGGGCTCAATGCAGGACCAGCCTAAAGCATCTCTGACAAATATTCGTCCAGCCTCTTCTTGAAAGCTGTCAGTGAAGGGGAACTAACCACCTCCCTAGGCAGCTGATTCCACCTTTGAACCACTCTGACCATGAAAAAGTTTTTCCTAATATCCAGCCGATACCTTTCTGCACATAATTTAAACCCATTGCTTCGGGTCCTATCCTCTGCTGTCTACTGGAACAGCTCCTTGCCCTCCTCCAAATGACAGCCTTTCAAATATTTAAAGAGAGCAATCATGTCCCCCCTCAATCTCCTCTTCTCCAAACTAAACATTCCCAAGGCCCTTAGCCTTTCCTCGTAGGGCTCAGTCTCCAGACCCCTGATCATCCTCGTCACTCTCCTAATCAAGATTCACAGCAACCAGTGTTTGGCCTGTAGAAACATCAACATGTCTATTACCAGTAACGTGAAGATGCATATTTTCTGTCATCCAAATTGGCTTTCTTGTGCTGGCTTTTTGTTGGCCTTTTGCTCTGAATTTCAAAGACGTTTGGCTCTTGAATTGTCAATAGTTGGTAGCCACTAGAGTATGGCTTCAGCTTGCCCTTTAGTCAGAGCCTTCAGACTAACTCACTAGAGAAGGCCTGGTTGTTGGATGATCCAGCAACTTCCTTCTAGTCCTGGTTGCTTTAGTGCTTTCTTTCCAGTCCAGTTGCTTTGCTGTCTATTTTCTGCACTATACAATGAGGAAAACAGACACCAAAGCAATCAGTATTAACATTTCTATCTCTTTGAAAGAGGATCTCTGTGTAGTAACAATATCTCATTTTCTGATGTTCTCAAAGGCACCCAATGAGCATCCACAGCAGAGTGGGGATTTGACCCTGGATTTCCCAGATCCTTGTCTGAGGCTGTGATCACACATACTAAATAATCCACTTTCAAACCAATTTCAATGCACTTTTGAATTGGATTTTGCCAGTTCACACAGTACAAATCCAGTTGGAAAGTGCATAGCAAGCTAGGTTACCTTTAAGCTGCACCAGGCTGTGCTGGCGCACCAATTTCCCCTAGCCAGTGCAGCAATTTTTACCACAGCGCAGGGGTGGGAGATTCCCTTCCTAATGGCCATGCAGCATGGATCCATTTGCTCAGGCAGCACAGAAACACAGCAGTATGCTTTGTGTTTCTTAATCTGGGCTGGCCCCGCCTCCCCTTAGCTGGGGTTTGCTTGCCCTGTGAAAGGGGGCACTGCTACCCTACCCGGCAGTCTTCTGCCTCATGCTCCTGGAGATACCCTGGCTCAGAAGGAGGACTGCTCTATTGCCCAGCTTCTGCCCTTCCTTAGGTTGTTTGTTTTGTCTTGGGGTGGGGGTGGGGAGCTGGCCTCAGCAGTGTGCTAGAGGCGATCTGGCGGCTTCTGGTGCTTTGCAAAGTGATTCTCTGTGCCTTTAAGCCTGGGAGGTTAGTTGAAGAAGGGGGGAGGCGGCCTCAGCAGCGTGCTAGAGGCAATCTGGTGTGTTCTGGTGCTTTGCAAAGTGACTCTCTGTGCCCTTAAGCCTGGGAGGTTAGTTGAAGAAAAGGGGGGAGGCGGCCTCAGCAGTGTGCTAGAGGCAATCTGGTGGCTTCTGGTGCTTTGCAAAGTGACTCTCTATGCCCTTAAGCCTGGGAGGTTAGTTGAAGAAGGGAGGGGTGGCGGCCTCAGCAGTGTGCTAGAGGTGATCTGGTGTGTTCTGGTGCTTTACAAAGTGACTTTCTGTGCCCTTAAGCCTGGGAGGTTAGTTGAAGAAGGTGGGGGGGGGAGGTGGCCTCAGGAGCGTGCTAGAGATTATCTGGTGGCTTTTTGTGCTTTGCAAAGTGACACTGTGCCCTTAAGCCTGGGAGGTTAGTTGAAGAAGGTGTGGGGGGAGGCAGCCTCACCAGGCTATCTGGTGGCTTCTGGTGCTTTGCAAAGTGATTCTCTGTGCTCCTAAGACTGGGAGGTTAGTTGAAGAAGGTGTGTGGGGGGGAGGCAGCCTCAACAGTATGCTAGAGGTGAACTGGTGGCTTCTGGTGCTTTGCAAAGTGACTCTCTGTGCCCTTAAGCCTGGGAGGTTAAGTAATACCAATATGTTCCATATAAATATAAATAAGTTTAATATAAATATATGGCTTGTAATACAAATGATAATAGTTTATATGTTATTTGTATGTTTGTAGACGTAAATAATTTAAAAAAAAAAATGTTGGCCCGCTCACAGTTTTAACGCTAGCACCACTTTTGGCTCAGAGGGAAAAATTTCTGCTCACGACACTGCACACCTTAGAGAGAACATTGATAGCGAGTGGATTGAAAGTGGATTATTTAGTGTGTATGATCGCAGCCTGTAAGTCTAAGTCTATTCACTACACCTAACATGATCCTGGGCCTGAGGAAAAAAGCACTCTGTAGGCCTTGGGTAACATTTGCAATAGGCCTGCATTTACCAGGCACCTTCCAAGCTTCATAGGGTTGCCAGCCCCCAGATGGGGCCTGGAGATCTCCTGCTTTTACAACTGATCTCCAGCTGACAGAGATCAGTTCCTCTGGAGAAAATGGCTGCTTTGAAGGGTGGACTCTATGGCATTGTACCATGCTGAGGCCCCTCCCCTCCCCCAAACCCACCCTCTCCTGGATCCACCCCCAAAGTCTCCAGGTATTTTCCAACCCAGACCTGGCAACCCTAAAGCTTCAGGATTGGATTGGGGGAAAAAATGAGGGGAAATGGACACCAATCCCTGTGAAGGAGTCGGAACTCTAACAGAGAGCGAATAAGGCCCTGCATACAGTTGCCTGGAGGCAGGGAGGGTGTTGGGTCCTCTCTAGTAAAACCCTAAAACCAGAGTGGTGGCAACAGCAGTGAGTTAAGGCCCTTGCCTGCCACAGGCCTGAAGGGAGCAGAGGGAAAGGAGGGGATGTGAAATCCCTGGAAGAAACATCCTGACTCTGGCAACCCTACATGGCCCTGTACACCAAGAATGTGACAACACCCCACTGGCTTTTGTGAAGTGGCTGCTGTTGAATTGTAGCAAGCAGGCAGGCCTGGGTGAGTCATGTAAAACATGTGGTAGTAAGTTGCCTGGTGGTTGCTGCTAGGCCTGGACCCAATGAGCCCTGTTCAAAGGTAAAAATAGCCCTTGCCTTGCACTTCAGAAACCAAGGCTTGAAACCACTGTTGTGGTTGCCTAGCAACGGCCACTGAAGGCATATGTTTCTTAAAGCTACAAGTGCTCCTTTTATCATTTTGGATTTTTTTACTTCCCCCCCCCCCTTGTATTTTTCTTAGATTTCAGATTTTTCTGCAAACCTGGACATTTCTCAGGTTTGTAGAAATATTTGTTGTGTCTGTCCACAGCCCTAATCTGAAAATTTAAATATCCACAGATAGGGCCATGTTGAGAATCAGATATGCTGATGGACAGAAATGAGCAGTTGAAGCTTTTCATGGCACAGAGGTAAATAACATTGCCTGGTAAATTACATCTCATTAAGCCTTCATTAAAGAGACAGGACGTTTTTTCTTCAGCCATTTGTTAACCCTAGTTCCAGATATTAGAGCAGGATTTCTTAATTCATTCCAGTGATTATATAATTTGTAGTGACAGCCTCAGAAGAAATATTTGGGGAGGCAAATATTTGACTAGACTAACCCTCCTTCAAACACAAAACCTTCTCAAACAGAAATATTTCTATAGTTTACATTGGTATTTGGATCCTAAACATATTTACTCTAGAATTAGGTTGCTGCAGGTAGAAAAGTAGTGATAGCTCTACATGTTGAATTTATGCCTGTTGACCTGGCTGAAGAGAGTTGAAAATACAGAAACCATACTGTATTTATTGATTTACTTATTTCAATTTGTGTCCTGCTCTCCCCTGTACAAGAGGGTGCAGAGCGGGGAACAACACTTCCAAATAGACATTCACAGTCAAGTTAAAAACAATTAAAACACCTAAAGCAATTCGATAACAGTTTACAGATGGCGCATGTAACGATTTCATGTTTTGTGTGTGTGTGACTTTAAAAGTTTAGTTTGCATGGCTGTGATATTC